TCTTTGGCTTGTACTGTTTTTCGTGGGGTTGATAATGTCTAAGAGCATAATGATAAAGTTTCCGAGCCTAACCCCCCCCCCCCAAAATTAATACACATTCAAAACCTGGAAGTAATTTGTAAATCTTCAATTTAATAAAGATTGAGAAATTGAATTTTTTAAAAATTATTAACTTTTTAATAATTCACAATATTAACTTTAATATCAGAAGAGTTTTTAATTATTTTATGAGAGGATTTAAAAATTAAAACCAGAAAAGAAAATTAAAACAATTAATTTTTTGCCTTTTTACTTTAAAAATTATTTTGCTTTATTTTCACTTTATTTTTTATCAGATATTGTTGCGTATTTCGAAAAATATAATAAAATCCCCCCCTCCCCCCCCCACCCGCAGTAAAGATTTCCAAAGGTTTTGCCTGATTTTCAAAATTATTCCCCAGATCCCAAGGGGGTCGTGAATTCCCAAGATCTTGGGAAATTTCCCAAGGTGTGGTAGCCCTGGCAGACAGAAGAGGGTGAGAACAATTTTAACCTGGATTGGAAATGTACGCTATACTGTCAGTTATGTGTGATGGGGCGCTAGAAATTACACGCTTGTGTTTATTCATAAATCAGATATATTGTACACTGTATTTTTATATTGTTTGTAGTTTTAGAATTAAAAAGTATTATTTTAAATAATTTTTTTTTCTAATGCTTACGAAATTGAAGTTTTAGAATTTTGTTTAAAAATGTAATGTTTATTTGATCATTTTATGAAAGCAACTGTTATTAAAATTTAAATTTAAATAATCAAAATAACTTATATAAATGTTTCAATGCAGGCCATGTTTCAACTTGAAGTGTATTTTTTTTTTACCATTAAGGACAGCCAAAATGTCAAGGAATAGTCTTAAATAACGGGGAAACGAACGAATTTGTGACAGGGTGTCTAAATTATTTTACATTGGGGGAGGTGGTGTAAAAATCAGCTAAAATAGAGTCTAGTCTTTAAAGGGAGCACCCAAAAAGACGTTAAGTAAGCGACTGGGTGAGGGGGTCACAAATTTGTAATGATGTATAATACAAATGTCTAATTTGTGTTACAAATGACTGACGATATTGAAAGTTGTCTTTATCTGTGTGTATGTGTGTGTGGTTTTTTTAGGGGGTGGGGGGCTAAATGTTGCCAAAGTAATAAATACAGTTAAGCGATTGTGATTGTTCTGTCTCCTAAATTATATTGAATTAATTAGGCTAAGCCTATAAAGATAGTCATCGTGTTAACTTTCAAATTTCGTTGATGAATTTTTTTTTATACTCTTTGAAAAGTGTGAGGATTGATTTCAAAAAAAGTATGATTTTATTTTAAAAATTAATTAATTTATATTGACCCCCTGTTCTTCAAACCAACTATGTTACCCTCACTCTTCTACATCCCCCCCTCCCAAATTCTTTAACCAGTTATTTTGCCCCACTTTTCTACCTGTAATATGATAATATGTTGCTATACATGCTGTTTTTATTGCCCAATTAATCAGATGGGTAAGTGACAAATAAAGAAATTTCTTAGCACCGCGTCAATATACCTTCTTCATTTTTTTTTTTTTTTTTACTTTGACGGAGTTCGGCGTTGAAATAAAACAAATTTTCCGGAGNCGAACTTGGCCAAAAAAAAAAAAAAAAAGCCTGTTCCAAATCCCTGTAAGAAAGTCACCGGTATTCTAAAAATAGTTAATTTAATTGTAATTTAAGTAACGGGAAATAAAAGGAAGTATCAGTATTTACATTTGAATGCGCATGCGTGAATTCTGTAAACATCAAGATGGCAGGAGTTGAGGAAGTAGCATATCATGGAACCTGGAAGGTATATTTTGCTAATTCACTTTGTTCTATCAAGTATTAAAAATAATGTATATAGCTCACTATTTTCAGATTACATGTTCACTCTCTAATTTCAGATTTGTAAGTTGATGTATCTTAAATATAGAATCCTATCTACAACGGCTTTAGTGCCTTTAATTAGGCATTACATTAGGCATTAGGCATTAGGCCAGTTAGTTGAAAAAATTTAGGACTTAAAACAATTGTAGTATCTTTAGGGCATTTAATTATTTTTTCAATGCTGAAATCTTAATAGCATTTTAAATTAATAGTATATGTATAATACTGAGCGCACCTATTGAGCTTTTGGCTTTGGTAATCCACCACTTCAGCGTTGGCGTCGACTAAAGATCTTGTTATCATCTGTTACTGTTATTGTTATGTTTTGAAAAGTGGAATGCTATTTAAACTGTTATTATCTTTTTGATGTCAGTGAATCATACAGCTGAGATGTGAATGGGTTTACGGTGGCATAGAAAGACTAGGCGCGGTTTTCTCATGGAAGTGCTAGACCCATGTGTCATGGGCGCCCGCAGAAAACTTTCCGGGGGGGGGCAAAAAAATCGATTAACTTTCCAGGGGGGGGCAACAAATTTTTAGTAATGTTTTAATATAGTTTTAATTTACTGTAGCGTATTTGTATGGTGAACGAACGGACAGGACATCAGCTTAGTTACTTTCTCTTTATTTTCTCTTTACTTTACTTTTATCCAATCAATCCAGGGGGAGGGGCAAGTGCCCCACCTTGCCACTACCTGCGGGCGCCCATGCCATGTGTGATCACATTACAGGAGTGCATACATTATAAATAGAGTCTAATAATGAGAGAAATTACAGGCTCATGTATTGTATTGGATGATTGGGCGGCTTATGCAAAAATAAACCAGGTCATACACGGAATCTACGAACACTCCATTGAGGTCCATCAAAAAAATTTTGTTAATCCAAATGACCCGGGTGTCCACAAAGAATTTGAAAATATGTGGATACGCGCAAAATGTAAACTGAAAATTCAGTTTGGTACAAGCTGTGATCTATTCCCTTCTTATATGTTCCGCAATAATTTTTGGGGAGATGATTTAAACTCAAAGTCTGTTTCCTTTTCATACATTAAATTGAAATTTTCTATTTAAAAAATGATTCAATAAAATTGTTTTTTTTTAAATTTCTATTTTTAAATTTAAAAATTTTTTAAAATGAATATGTACAATGACAATGTCATAAAAAACATTTCCATTGTTGTAATTAGAAAAATAATTTTATCTTATCTTTAAAATAATAACCGTTTAAATAGCACTTCAAACCAGAATAACATGAATTTTTTAATAACCGATGCTTCAGTGGTAAATTACCAAACTTTCTTACTTAGGAACCAGCCAAAAATGATGTCACACTAGTTTGGACCATTTTTTACCTCCACTCCTCCCCTCTTTCATCATTCAATCACTGTATTCAGACAGGAAAAATCATCAAAAAAGTAATAAAATTAGACACCCTCATCACAAACATGCAATGTCGTCTACAATAGAATTTCCCAAACTTTAAAGTTTGGCAGACCAGTGGACATGTTTTGAAATTGCATCAAGGACCAGTGCCAGGCTTATTAATTACATTTTCTTTTTATAGAACCTTAAATATTCATGTTGTGCGGACCGACACCATAACGCTTGCTAGTCGGCGGATGACCATTTGAGAATTCATACATTAGTACCATTAAAAATGTCAAATTTTTATACCCCCTCCTAACTGTCAGGGCCTTGCACCCATACCCTCCACCAACCTCAAGAGGGTGCCAAAATCTTCATTTTTCATGCAAAGTATGCTTATTACATACTTCTTTTGGATGACATAGCTTTATGCCTAATTATGTCACAAGTTACATCACACAGTGTGTGGATGAAAACATATTGGCATCATGAGGTTTTATAAGAAAAGCCTATTTGACTAATGACAAGACTTGTCAAAATGACAGGAAATAAAGAGACCTGGATGCGTAGATGACAGGCAGTGTTTTTTTTTTTGGTTGGTTTTTTTGTTTGCTGTTTCACTTTGCTCTTTATGCCTTCCACATTATTATTATTATTATTATACATGGTTTTATATAGCGTAGTACCCCAGCCTAAGGCTAGGCTCAGTACGCTGTACATACAACTTAACAAACATAATAAAAAAACTTTAAAAATTAATTGACATACATTAATGAAATAAAACAAAACAAATGTATATTTAAAACTATTTACCTATCAAGTCATGGATGACACTCAATACCATCGTTTTTGGGTCAGAGGTGGAATCAGTCAGGATAGTAGAGTTGTCAGAATTTTCATTGTGTCAATGTCATGCTGCCTACGGGACCCATCTTGGTTACTTTCAGAGTTTACCTTCTCTAAAATGAGTTGACATCCAAGGTCAATGAGACCCATCCATGGTTTTATTATGATACACTCTAGCTTACTGCTCCCTGTCATCTATTTTTTAATAAACTAAATGTCCACTCTCATCTAACCAAAAATTCTCAACATCAAACATCAGATAAAACATGTCCATTGTGTTAGGCTCATAACATTAAGTATTATTTAAGCTTATATCAAACAAACATACTGATAAGTATCATCATTTCTCACCCTGATAAATTATTATAGAAAAGTGGTTTTCAGATATAGTCTTGTTGACCAGACTAGAGTCATGACACAGTGTTCAGAAGGAAGTTTCAATTTTATAATTCAAAAGAAATAATATTTGTTATATAACAGAATACATAAAATTATATGTTAAGACTTTTCATAAATTGAAATATTATGTTGAAATCTTCACTGAGACCCTAGTTGCAGTTATTACTATTTGTTCATCTTTGTTAGGAAATAGTTTGTTCATAAGTAAGCAGTAGTAAACACATAGCTTGCAAAGTGGTTCATGAGTAAAACAATTTTTTGTATCCTCGTCCGGTTTCTCACTCAAAATGCTTTATCAAGAGAGTATGTTCACAGGAAAGTGATACTGGTGAAAGTGTGAGTCCCCATTGTCCAGGTTGAGTTTAGGTTGAAATAAAGCCTAAGCCACTTTGTAATTTAGAGTTTTGGTTGTTTTATGTCTTTTCTGGCCTCCTCTGAGATGGAGTATAAATCTGAAATTTTTCAGGGCCTTTTCGTGATACAGCTTACATTTTTTAATGATTTATCTCTTTCATACTGTGTATTTTTAATTCATATTTAAAATAGCATACCCGACAGAGTTCCGGCAAAGTGGCTTAACCATAATCTTTATTTTGTTGACAGATAATTGAATGTGTCTCTGTGGCAGGTGTAGTAGAGATTACAGGAATTGAAGGGTAAGCAGCATAAAAAACACATGTTGAGATATCCTTCAACTTAAACATTTAGGCCAAATTAATGAAAATAAAGATGAGATTTGCACACTAAATTTGTAAAAAAAATCTGGAAAATATCATGTCTTTTTTTAAAAAAAATATACTGATTGCCGTGTTAACTCTATGGCAACTGGATATTGAATTAGCCAACTTTTTTATTACAGCAAGTCTTATTTTTTAACATTACGAAGCTGATTTACATATTTTTTTGTTTATCTATTATATTTTTAAAAAAAAATTAGAGCTCATGAGTAAATGCATTGGATTTGGACAATGAAACTCAAAGAAATTATTTTCAATTTCAAGGATGTGTGTTACCAGTATTTGCAAAAGGTTGCAAGCGAAGAGTGATTAAAATGTTGGTTTTTTTTATCAATCAGATATTGTTCTTTTAAAGAAATAGTAAAAGCAGTTGATATTAAAATGTTTTTCAAATTTTAAAAATATTTTTTATATTGACTTCAGGGATTTATTTTTTTAACGTATTTTTCAGAACTGAGTTTATTTTAGATGAAAATGGAGATGTTTCCTGGCAAGTTTCCGATGAAGCAGAACCACTGCCATTTTTCAATTGTGAAACTTATGAGGTAAACTTGTTTAGTTTTGACATCCACAATCCTGCACAGACAAAAAGAAAATTATTGCTTGAAATGGACCATTATTTTAAATATTCTTATGTAAATATTGTACATTTTCAGGTTTGTCCATCAATCGGGAGTGACCCTGCATTGTTGAAGTTTATAGGAACATATGCTGGATATGTGGTAGAGTTTAAGGTGATTAATAATTAAATATATCTGTTAGCTTAATCAGTAGGGCAAAATAGTCAAAAAGTTTACTAGCATAAATATTACTAAATACACTTTTAAAATTTTGATAATTATAATACTTTTTATATTATAACTCAAAAGTTTTTCTTTTACAACTGAGTCTCCAAAGGTATTTTCAAATCGGGTATCCCAGAAATGATTATTTTTATATTCAAAGATGCATAGTATCTGTGCAAATGAAGCTTTATTTATGATGGGACAAAATAATTTTTTTTGGTTAAATGCCTGCATATAACATTTAACATATACTAAACAAACTGAATAACAAGAAGTGTTCAGTGCTAGGAAATAAAGCCAGCATTTCATGTTATGTTATTAAAAACGTTAAATATCAATCAGAATCTTATCTACCAATGTAAATATAATGTAAACATAATGATGCATTCTCCTGAAATCACTTTTACAATGCTGTTCAAAATGATTTTTATTCTAGAATAGAAATGACTTATATTTTTATCATAGTTTTAATTCAGGAACATGTCTTTTTCAGGTAGACATCTCTGACGATCTCATGTTGTTAACTTATGAAAAATGCTGCATGTTGCAGTGTCAAAAGGTATGTCTATGGTCATTTAGTCAATTAAAAATAAATTAATTGCATCCTTAAAATAGTTAGTGTTTAGATGACGTATGAATTTCTCAGATCATGTTGAAACATTTTCACAGTATGCATATTATGTAATAATATAAACTAAAATCGTAATAATTATTTAAAAAATGAACCTATGAGTGTAACAGTATTAAAAAATTTTGGGTGGTTGTTTTCTAATACAGGAAATAAATTATTTCACTTACATTACATTGACACATTCGTATAATTTATTTTGTTTATTGACAGGTTTCCCCTGGCCCGCGCAGAGAGGACACACCTTATTCATTTCTAAGTGCTTTAGAGCAAGGCTATTTTTCTGATATTTCCTTGAAAGCAGACTCTGGCAAAGAGGTTTAAACGTCACTTTCAATCTTTATTATCTTAATGCTCAATTGTTGAAAATTATTTACATAAATTCTTTCCATTTCAAAATATTGTTCAAATTTTCTTACTAAAACAACTTTTTTTTCTTACTTAAATTATTTGGGAAAATAGTTTAATTGTCAATAACTGTAAAGTTTCGTAATTCCAATAACAGTTTAAAGTTCACTCAACCATCTTGAATCTAAGTGCCCCTGAGTTAGACTGGACAGCGAGTATTACTCCCCTAACCGGTCTGCCAGAAGATGTTCTGGGAGTCACCCTCCACTATCTTTATGCGGAATGCCTGCCCCGCGGGCTGTCTGAGAAAACAGCTCAGAGGTGCGTCAAGATGGTGGGGAAGATGCCTGGATTTGCCAAGTTTGGGCAGCTGTGTGAAACATTCTTAAAGAACACAGCTCTCACAGAACGTAAGTTTGAGATCTGCTGTACATGTTTAAAATTTGAACAAACATTTTGTGTAAATAAAATAGTGCAGGTTCGGCTATTCAATTTATACTTATAATGAATGTTTTTTGTGTTTTTCGTTGTACTTATGAAGGCATTTTCCAAAACATTTACATTTTTCTTCTGTTCAATCATTATTAAAGCGAACCTGTATTTCCACAAATTTTTGTGACCGATTAATCTACTTGAAAGCTTTATCACAGTTCAACACCCATATAATTTTTAAGGTGTGACCTAAACAAAAAATCTATACTTACTTTTGGTGGTAAATGACATATATGGGAACCTAAGCCTGAATTAATTTATTTGTTTTGTTCCTGATCCTCGTTTCCCCCCAATAACTTGTCACTTTTTTCCCCCCAAAATTAGAGATGAAAACCCTTGTGTCTGATATTCATACATGTGCTGACCGCATAAATGACTTGTTTGGTGGACCTGTCAGCGAGGATGGCCGTGAGGCTGTGACATTAGAAGGGACCATGTGGTCCAACCCTGCCAAGCTGTGTTACACTGTGAGACAGGCGCTCAGAGAGGAAGCTATCGGTCAGTTGCCATATGTTGGTGTTCATATTTATTATGTTAGGACCTCTGCAGTTATCTTTCTTGTCATCTTCCAGTGGACAAGGTTCACAGGGAGATTCTTGATTCTTTTACTCGGGCAATCTTTCATTTGATACACATGTAAAAATATTTATACATTGAACATTTCACTTCCTCACATTAGAGTATATAATTTGTTTTATTCTTTCTTTAATAAAAAGTTAATGACCTTCATTATTTAAGATAAAATTGTAAATATATAACTAAATATAATTATTTCAAGGTCAAATAAGTTGTGAATGTTGACTGGATGACTTCCAAAAAATGAGCTATATCGATTTAAAATGTTCTGCTTCTGCAGATTTTGATTGGTCTTATCTTGTAATGTTGTCTTTTCAGCATGCGCCAAGTTGGTTATTATGTGTGATCTCTTCTCTAAACGAAAGTACGAGTTATCCAGAGAAGAGCGTTATGAAATTATGAAATATGTTAAATCTAGGTAAGTTAACATTAACTAAAATATATATACTACTTTTTTTTCCTGTAACAAAGTGAAAAAGTAGATATGTTAAAATATTGAACAAATCATCATATGATTTTAGCAATATTTTTATTCAGGAGCTTATCTACTGATGATTTAAATGGCAAGTTTCATATTCTGAAGTTGTACAAATAACTTACATACATTACAAGTAGGGAGGATTTCCCGGTTAGCTATACTCTCGTGTACATGGCAAATATCAAAGTACTTGCAATAACCCACCAAACAATGGAGGCAGCAGTGTGTGAACTTCCCATCTACTCAGGTTACTTGACAAAACGTGTATTCCAGGAAAGCACATTATAAGAGTCCCAAATAGTGCTAACTTCTGGAATGTTTTTTTTTTTAAATGCAGCAATGCTTACATACCTAGAGAACTAGTATCATAGATTTCCTTTTACTTGAATAATCTCCCTTGTATTATTGTGCTGTTGAAACTCACATTTATTTCGGTTGTCATAATGACAATTTAGAGTACAGACAAATATGATATATATATATATTTATTTTTGCATTTTTTAATAGGATTCCTGTATTTATGAAGCAACTGCTGACACTTTTAACTACAATCAAGGCTCATCTCCAGGCTTTGACCCAACCTCAGAGAATGGACATATCAGCTTACCTAGTACCAGAGGTAAATAACAAGATCGGCACATTGATATAAAACCTCTTTTATTTAACATTCACCCTTGTGCCTGTGGGTTCACACACCCCCCCCCCCACCCCACCCCAGCGGTTACCAAATCTAAAGATCACTAATTCAGTCATTATTGTCACTTAAGAAGTTCATGCATGACTGATTTCTACGCTGGTGAAACACTTGAGATGTCTTACGTTTAAATTATTATAATTGTAACATGTTGTCTTTGTTTCAATATGTAATTATTTAGGTGCTGGAAATGACTTTGTACAATGTAATAACAAATATTTTCTTATCTTAATTTTCATTAATCCGTCAATTCAGTGAGGCTGCAAATGTTTAATTTAAATAAGACGAGTCGATGTTTCATTTATCTAAGTGTTTTTATTGAATATAGGTCTCATTTTTTTGTTTTGTTTACAGATGGAGACCATCTTAGACACCATGTCAAGGTTTGCCAGTGAAACCAAATCAGCCTTAGAGCAAGCCATCACCACCAGCAATGAGAAAGTCCAGATCGAGAAAGGAGAAAAAACAGACAAGCCCAAGAAAAGTGGCGTGGGGGATGCCCTGGGGCGAACGCTCAAACATGTAAGTTGGGGATGCCCTGGGGCAAATTCTCAAACATGTAAGTTGGGGAGGCCCTGGGGCAAATGCTCAAATATGTAAGTTGGGGATGCCCTGGGGCGAATGCTCAAACATGTAAGTTGGGGATGCCCTGGGGGCAAATGCTCAAACATGTAAGTTGGGGTTGCCCTGGGGCAAATAGACATGTAAGTTGGGGAATGCATGTATTTTTTAATTTATTTGTAAGTAGTTTTACTGCCCCTTTGAATTTGAATTAGATATGTGTTTTATTTCTGTATCATTACTTTATATGTGTCTTATTTCTGTATCATTACTTTATATGTGCTTTATTTCTGTACCATTACTTTTTATGTGTCTTATTTCTGTATCATTTCTTTGTTTGCAAATTTCCAGGCTCTGCATTTAAAGGAGTTGAAGAAGCTGAAACATTTCCATGAAAGAACCACCTCCAGTTTCTTACATTTACGTCAGAAGAGGTGAGGGCTGTCACAATGGGGCAGAATGATTGCCACGGAACATTTTCACAAACACTACAGATTTTTCACACAGTTATTCTATTTCAAGGGAATTCTTTTATTTAGACTTGTAAACTTTACATTGTCCTAAATGTGTTGATGTATTTAAAAAAAATTTATTCAGTTTTAAACTGGTTGTAAAATGTAATGCAAATTTATGTATAAATTTTTAAATTTTTTTTTAATTTTTACAAAATTACAGTCTTAGAGCTTTTGGTCCACAGTTGTTGTATATTCTAAGGCGGGTGGCCAGTTGTGGAGCTTATGGTCCACAGTTTTGGCTGACAGCCAGTTGTGGTGTTTAAGAACTTCATGCATAAAGAAAATACAATCCTTCCTATTGGAATAATATTTTTGTTTCTTATCATCAGAGAAAATTTCAACATGAAGAGTCAGCCAGACAAAGTGAGATCTGTGTCACAGTCTCTGGTTAACTTAGTAGATGAGGTGAGATCAGTTGCTAACTTTAGTTGAGGAACATTAAGTTGACAAGATTTTGACCGTCTATTGTTGATGTTTGACTTGGGGGGTAAACTTAGTCTTAGGTAAATTTTTTGATGGATTCTCACAGCTGAGTTCACCATATGATCGATGGATTATCACAGCTGAGTTCACCATTTGATCGATGGATTCTCACAGCTGAGTTCACCATTTGATCAATGGATTCTCACAGTTGAGTTCACCATTTGATAGATGGATTCTCACAGCTGAGTTCACCATTTGATGGATGGATTCTCTCAGTTGAGTTCACCATTTGATCGATGGATTCTCACAGTTGAGTTCACTATTTGATTGATGGATTCTCACAGTTGAGTTCACCATTTGATTGATGGATTCTCACAGTTGAGTTCACCATTTGATTGATGGATTCTCACAGTTAAGATCACCATTTGATTGATGGTTCACATTTTTGTCACCAGTTTCCATCATTCGTGATACGACTGAGGGAGATCATTGTAGCCTTGGACGAGAAGGTGACTTGGAAGGAGTGGAAGTACCTCTTTAAAATGGCCACCTCCAAAGTGGTAAGTAGCATGCTTGCAGTGCATTAACTTATGAACCGACAATACCGTTTGTTGAAATTTTGCATTGTCTGCAACGTGATGATGGCTGAATTAACGAGGCGAGCTCATCATACGTTGTTAGGTCAGACGACACAGCTGCAGGTGGTGCCTGGTAAAAGAGGAGTGCTGCACAGTGAAGGGATGTAAACATGAGACGACGCAGCCCCAGTAGGATATTAAAAATGGTTTCTAAACATTTTGTGCAATTTGGCTTCCTAAACACACAAAAATATCTTTTTAATATAGTTATTTTACTTAGGCATGATGTTGAAAATAATATACAAAGAGTTGTTACTACTAACAAAAGAAAACAACATAAAAATTGGACACCAGGTCAAATCGTACACAACCAAAAATATGAGTACGTTATAAACAAGATTTTTTCCTTCTATGTTTGGCATGCATTATGCTTAGAAAAAAATTATTTCAGTCCTGGGGTCTAGCTAAAGTTCAGTCCAATCGTTCAGCCCTGCAGCCAATGATTGACGAAATGTGTGATATCGTACGAAGTGAGCAGTTCGTAGCCTCGCTGGTGACATTAGGTCTGAAATCTCCCATTGAAACTTCATCACAAAGTGCACCTGGGAAGGACTCTCTCTTCACGGCTGTGGCTGGAAACAAGGCAACCAAATATGCCCAGGTAAGCAACAGCCTGTTCTTTTTTTAAGAACATTACTTTATTTCGTGCCATTTAAAAATGCAGTTGCTGTTATTATTTGATGAAGATGCTGTTTAATGGGCACTGTGTCGTGTTGGAAGATCTGCCACTCATGTTTTGCCTCTGTACCTGATGCAATGCTAATGTTCTGCATATCTGTTTCTTGTGTGTCCTACAGCTGAGCACCTGATGCAATGCTAATGTTGTGCACATCTGTTTCTTGTGTGTCCTACAGCTGAGCACCTGATGCAATGCTAATATTCTGCATATCTGTTTCTTGTGTGTCCTACAGCTGAGCTGTGTTGATTCATTGTGTGTCTCTCCCAACGCCGGCCTCAGCTGTACAGCAAAGAGGGCACTGGAGCTGTTCAGACACAGTCATAACACGGACATGATGTTTGAGGTCATAAGCATACAAGGTGAGACGGACCATTCCGGCTAACTTACACATTTCTGTACACTAATCCATGTTAGCATTTTTAAAACAGACCTATGGAATACGTCATATAGACTATACGAGATATATTGTCAATGCATAACTTAGACATGCCCTCTTGACCCCCTGAAATGGCTTAATAGTCCAAAAATGTATCACAATGTATGTATCATATCACAACATATCACATATCACAACATATCACATCATATCACAACATATCATAACAGGGTATAATGAGCCATGGTAGTAAGCAGAGAAGGTCATAGCAAACACCATGATAAATTGAAAAAATATTTACAATTTCTTGTGAATGTTTCTACATAAATCTGTACACCATCCACATTCTCTTTCCTAAATAAACTCAGACATTCAACAGATCAGTAAATACATTCCCAACCCGTATCTTCTATAGTGATCCATTTTCCCATCATTCGATGTTTATTGAAAAAAATTCTGAAACACTGTTGAAGTGTTGATGTGAACGAAAACTGGCCAAGTGATACTTGTGTAACGATACTTCGATACTTCCGTGTGGTCCTTTTCAGAGGGAGGAGACATCATCATTGATCACACAGCGAGTTTAGCCGAGGGCTGCGCCGGGGCTGAGACCGTCAGGGGTGGGGGCGACGGGGAGGAGAGGGATGTGGAGATCCATGAGATCAAAGCACACCGCGTGCTGGTGGCTGCCAGGTGCGACTGGTTCCGGAAAGCCTTACTCAGCGGAATGAAGGAGGCCATAGACAGGTGAGAATACGTGGGTGAGAGTTCTGGTATCAAGTGCCGAGGGTTTCCATCACTGTGTGAGGGAGCTCTTTTATTGTGGAAAGAGTACCTATATAACGAGGGTAAGATATCTTCGATTAGAGATGAGACCAGGCCGACGTGCCTGCTGTCATGTGAGATTGATTCTGTTTGGCAGATGATTTTACTTGCTAAATGGTTATGTTGCTGTATGGTACTTGCTAAATGGTTGGGTTGCTGCGTGGTACTTGCTAAATGGTTGTGTAGCTGTATGGTACTTGCTGAATGGTTGTGTTGCTGTATGGTACTTGCTGAATGTTTGTGTTGCTGTATGGTACTTGCTGAATCGTTGTGTTGCTGTATGGTACTTGCTGAATCGTTGTGTTGCTGTATGGTACTTGCTGAATCGTTGTGTTACTGGGATCTTAATTCTCTGGCTATTGGTTTCTCATCTTCCTCAGGAAAATTGTTGTTCACGACACTAACCCAGAATTGTTTACAAGATTTTTAGAAGCCTTATACTCAGGACACTTGGACACCAGCAGTTTGAACGCAGAACAGTTGGCTGATATGATGACACTCTGTGATAGATATGAGGTACAAACCATTGTGGCTGTAGCAAACAAGAGGTTATTGACATATAAAAAAAACTAACTAAATTCATGTCTTAGTGAACTAAAAAATAAAACAAACAATGTGTAAAAATTGTTTGAATCTAAGGAAATCTTGGTTTCAATGTTTGTTTGAACGTTTCAGTATTTCTGAGCCAAACTTTCTTTAGGTTCCACTTAGGTTCCATCAAATCCTATAGAGATGCCATTTAGTTTAGCTAGCTGGCTTTATGTTTTAATCTATTCAAGTTTGGCAGATCTTCTGTTGACCAGTTGCACAATTCTGGATAAAGAGACAAAATATTTTTAAAAACGCATAACAATCGATATTAACAATTATTGTTTTTCCTCCTAAATTTTATATTTCAATTCGTTGTGAGCAGTATTCCTTAGATTAACTTAGTTAAACAACAAGTTGATAGAATGGACAATAATGACACCCCCTGCCCTTTTCCTAAAAAAAAAAAATTATAATAATTTAAAAAAACGCTCATGTCTGCTCTTCGCTGGTGAAACAGAAATTGCATGTTGTCGCGAAGCGTTTCTTCTGTATGGTCAAGTCTTTCACTGCACTCCGTTCAGCAGCACACCATACACAAACAGTCACCAATGCAACAAACAGCAACCGGTTTGTTGTAAACGAAAGTTTATTTATCACTACTCGATGAACAAGACTTGATGTATAATTTCAGAATTTGATAATAAATCACTCCAACCAAATATTAATCAACATACCAATCCAAACACTTCTGCCAGTATATTCCCCATCAATTCTCTCAGCACAACAATTAACAGTATTCAATCCACAACAGTCAATGTAGCACATCCGCCATCACTCTTCTCTAACCACAACGAAAACTAACGCGTCACTTCCCATTACACAATTACGTCACAACACTCTCACACAAACGATACGGCTGCACATACAATCTCTAACGAACATCTTTTCCCTATCAAACATGACAACAACGCTCTACACATAACAACAGTGATTCTCATACCCTCGACACATGTCTTGAATTGATTGTTTATTTCAGATGGACAGCCTGAAACTGGTCTGTGAACATGAGCTCAAGTCTCACTTAGATGAGGACAACGCCTTGTGCCTTTTAAATCTTGCTGACCACCTCAATAGTAGAAACCTCAGGGTAATTGTTTACTGTGTTTAGATCAATTTTTCACATTGTACACTGGTGTGGGAGTAGGCTGTGAGAAATAATGTACGACCCTAGTGCTGCATGCAGCTTGCCATCTTTGGCTTCTTTTAAAGAAAAAAATAAAAGATTGTCTTTTATCAGAATAAGTAACTGCTACCTGAAAGTTTCTAGTTAAACTACTAAATTTGTGGGTTTTTTTTTATAGAATAACAAAACTTATCTTTCCATTTACTTGGAAACTTTACATAAAAGAAATATTTAGATTAAGCTTTTTATCTCGGAATCTTCAATGTGCAATATTGCTAACTATGGCCATTGTCTTCCAGGACTCTGCACTGAATTATGTGTTAGAGCATCAAGATTTGACATTCAGTGACATATACGATGACCTACCTGACCACTTGAAGGATGAAGTACAAGATGCCATCGTGTGGCACGGGTAGGTCCGTTGATCAGTCTCAGTGGTTAAATCGATCACATTTTCATTGATGGTGTTGTCCGGTCTAGTTAAACTATGCCCCTTAAAAATCAAAAACATTTAAAAGAAGTTTTCTGTCAAATATCTGGCTTATCTGTCAATGTTGGAGACTTCAGAAGTCCCCTCATGCCAGTCTGTATAAATACTTCACAAGTCCCCTCATGCCAGTCTGTATACACACTTCACAATTCACCTCATTCCAGTCTGTATACACACTTCACAATTCACCTCATGCCAGTCTGTATACACACTTCACAAGTCCCCTCATGCCAGTCTGTATACACCATGTGATGCATTACATTTTTTGACATGAAACGAAATTGTTCCCCCCCCCCCCAGGCTGGCACCCAGGAACCCACCCACTCGAGGACANGTAAGGAACATCAAAAACTAGGTCCACACACAAGGCTGTAACAGTAAGGAACATCAAAAACTAGGTCCACACACAAGGCTGTAACAGTAAGGAACATCAAAAACTAGGTCCACACACAAGGCTGTAACAGTAAGGAACATCAAAAACTAGGTCCACACACAAGGCTGTAACAGTAAGGAACATCAAAAACTAGGTCCACACACAAGGCTGTAACAGTAAGGAACATCAAAAACTAGGTCCACACACAAGGCTGTAACAGTAAGGAACATCAAAAACTAGGTCCACACACAAGGCTGTAACAGTAAGGAACATCAAAAACTAGGTCCACACACAAGGCTGTAACAGTAAGGAACATCAAAAACTAGGTCCACACACAAGGCTGTAACAGTAAGGAACATCAAAAACTAGGTCCACACACAAGGCTGTAACAGTAAGGAACATCAAAAACTAGGTCCACACACAAGGCTGTAACAGTAAGGAACATCAAAAACTAGGTCCACACACAAGGCTGTAACAGTAAGGAACATCAAAAACTAGGTCCACACACAAGGCTGTAACAGTAAGGAACATCAAAAACTAGGTCCACACACAAGGCTGTAACAGTAAGGAACATCAAAAACTAGGTCCACACACAAGGCTGTAACAGTAAGGAACATCAAAAACTAGGTCCACACACAAGGCTGTAACAGTAAGGAACATCAAAAACTAGGTCCACACACAAGGCTGTAACAGTAAGGAACATCAAAAACTAGGTCCACACACAAGGCTGTAACAGTAAGGAACATCAAAAACTAGGTCCACACACAAGGCTGTAACAGTAAGGAACATCAAAAACTAGGTCCACACACAAGGCTGTAACAGTAAGGAACATCAAAAACTAGGTCCACACACAAGGCTGTAACAGTAAGGAACATCAAAAACTAGGTCCACACACAAGGCTGTAACAGTAAGGAACATCAAAAACTAGGTCCACACACAAGGCTGTAACAGTAAGGAAAATCTGGTGGTCTGTTCATCCTCTTTTTTTTCCCTCTTATTTTTTATCTTTGTCTATGCGTTACTTGGTTGGCTATCATTATTAAAATTCACTTTATGTTAATGTATATTATTGGCTGATTTATTTTTCCGTCAAACGTTTTACTTCGTGTGTTTCATTTGTTTTGTTCAATTGCACGCAGCTTTAATTAAGTATATGAATTATTTAAAAATTAAAAAATTATAATGATAGAACGTTAAAAAAACCACTGACATTTGTTTATATTTTTATTTCTAATCATCGGACTGTGGTCATTAGACTGTTTTCATTAGTGGTCATTCGTCAGTGATCTGCATTTTTGTGTGTTGGGGGAATCTGCATAAATTTATAACTTCAAAGCAGGGAATTATTTTTATCTTAATTTTAATCTATGGAATATTGTTCCTTGTCCGTGACACAAACCCCATCCCTTTACATTTTAATCTTCTACTGCACAATAAATACCCTCTAATCCAAAGCAAAATATTTGTAACAGTTAAAGTTATGCCAGGCCTGCTCTGTCAACTCCTATGTTCTACTGGGTTGATTCATTCCTCAAGTTCTTTCACACGTTTTAATGAGTCGTACTATTCTAACTATCACTGAATAAACTCAAGTCCTTTTCATAATAATTATAACTTTAATATCTAATTATAAACACATGCATATAGCGCAGTTCGCTGTCAGACATAAATAAAACACATCCTACTTCTACAAAGTTCTATTCACGACAATGTGTCACAATCAGCATAAAAATATGTCACTCAGTCAAGCGGGGGAAGAGCATTCACTAACTTATAAAACACTCAAACACACACCTCGCCTAATAGAAACATAATATTCAGTAGAAACAATTATCAATGAACTCCCATACTCGACATGCTCAAAACACTCAACTCTCTCTGCTTTGTTTAAAAAAAATCTTTGTTCATCCTACCTGCAGGGCTTGGACCTGTCGACTTCCAGTTCATCCGATGACCTACCATTTGTTGAAGATGCCGCCAGACTTGAGTCTTGCATCCGGGATCTTTTGGATATTGTAGGTGACACCGTGCCACGGGATGAACTCACCCGGATAGCCCTGGCTGCCGACTATGATACCAACAGAGCCCTCAATTTTTTCTTCTCCTCGTAGCAAAAACCATAAATTTAGCTGTCATGTTTGCTGCCACAATTTCAGACAGATATCTCTTAGCACACATTTTATTGAAGAGTTTTGATTTATTTTTTTAGATAGACTAAATATAACCATTAACGCCTGCATTATGGGCATTATTTCAATGTGTGTTAGTTAATTAATATTATTCCCCCGAGATTGAACAGCCTCTTAGTTTGACTCATGTTGAAATATGCTTGACGGATGTAATTAGTTTTTCAAAGACTCTTTATGGATTGACAGTTTGGTTTTAAAAAATACTTTTTTTATATTTTTTTTAGAGGATTTCTCTACAGCAAATTAAAAAGAAACAAGTGAAATTAACAGAAACTTTTACAGTTTTATTTACATTTAAGGGCAAAAGCACTAGAGCAACGTAAATTTTTTAATGGAATACCTGTAAATGAGTAAATATTTGCTCTCTGCTTAAAGAGGGATCAATAGATAAACATTTTTGATTTGGTAGGTTTTCTTTGTCCACATAAGTATTTCTAAAGTGGACATGAGTTTTCACATCCTAGATGTTCTTGCAGTCTTGTTTCAAAACACCATTTCCTGCACTTGACCTTTGCCATTAGCAGAAAGTTTCAAAGAAAAAAAAAACCCTTTTAACTTCAACTTATACTATTGCTGCTCTGAATTTTCCCGTCAGAATGATGTAACTCTTTTGTCATACGAAAATGCATCATTGCATGTGAATATCTGATAAGCATTGAAGTGAACCTTTTGATCAGTCAGATTTTTTTGTTCCTATATGATGAAACTTGAGTATGGACAACACTTTTTACAACAACAGTTCAACTCTGCCTTCAACATCAAATGATTTGTGTCCTGGCCAAAAGGAATCTTTTGAAAATTCTGCTGTGTATTTTTATTTTGGTGAACTGGGCTCAGAGGCGTAGCGAGGGGGGGCAGGGGGGGACAGATGTCCCCGGGCGCCAGCTAGTTAGGGGCGCCAAAATGTGCTTTGATATTATATGATTGGTAAAAATAATGGGTTTGAGAGCTGAAAAAAGAAAAGGGGGCGCTTTAAAATGGATCTTGTCCCCGGGCGCCAAACACCCTCGCTACGCCTCTGACTAGGCTTTCAAAGAATTTAGCATGTCAAATTATTTGTCATTATTTAAACCAAACCTTATATAAGTAATGTAGAAAAAAATTACAATTTGTTTGAGTACTGGCGGTGAAACTTCTTTTGGTCAACAGAAAACATGAAGAAATCGGTACTATTGTAATCTCCACATCGTTTCATTTTTTAAAATCTTGTGACAAACCATTTTATATCCAATAAACTTTGGCACTTACAACTCTTAATATCCAACAACAAAACTTTCGCACTCATAACCCTTATTGATGGCACTGCTTGTTATACCTGGCATGATCTGCATTTCTTTCACTACTCGTGGAGGAACAAACCTATTTATGTCATCACTGTGATATGTTATAAGGAAACAAACTAATCCCTTTTTTTTTCTTCTCCGCATTCTATTTTAGTAGGTAGATCCTAAAAATATTGACTTACATCTGCTGTGTGAGGTTGAGTGCCGAGACAGGACTGTACAATTATAACAGCAGGAAATTTCAGTGGAAAGGTTTAACTAACCACTATTTAAAATAGAAAACTATTTTTAAAGATATGAACAAAATGAAGAGTTTTTAAATAATGTTCAAAATTGTTATATTTTCATGTTTTTTTTTTTTTTTTTTTTTTTTTTTTAAAAGTTGTTTTTTTTTTTTTTTTTTTAATTTTTTTTTTTTTATGTTTTTTTTTTTTTTTTTTTTTTTTTTTAAAAGTGGTATTGTTAAATCCTTACACTGACATGTCCAGGGACCTAATGACCTGATTCTTAAAGTAAGTTAATGTATTTTTGTCAACAGGATCTCGTCAAACTTACGGCTGTGTTTTGATTCTCTGTTGATGAAATGTGCCATAATTTCAGTCATATCTGTTGATTTCTTCATAATATAGTTTGAAGTGCAGTGCACATCTCATCTTATTTATTTATTGTCCAGTTCAGCGAAAAACTGATTCCATTGGTTTGAATGACTTTGCTCCAGTGGTTCTTAAACTCTTCAACAACATATCTACATTTAGGAAACATTTTCCTGGTAATCCAAAGTTAAAGAACTTTTCTTTTTTTTTTTGTATTGCTTTTTTGGTTTTTGCATGTGTTATCTGAAATGGTGGTCGGTGGAAAGATCTTTGTCAAGTTATGTTTGAGACTCAACCACCTTTCATAAATATATTTTTAATGTTATGTTGTTTTGTTTCACAAATCGTCCCCAGGGTATCTTTGTAAACAATGATTTATTAAACAACTAATGCTCTTTGTGTCAGAACTATGAAAAAAAGAAAGATCGAATGTTAACATTTTAATTAAGGAACCCAATTCAATAAAACTAACGTTTGTTGAGTGGGATCGGTTGTAAAGAGTGAATGGATGTTAGTCTGAACCTCAGACCAGGGTGCACTAGAGTCACTGGAGACCTTGCAGATTGGCCTGGTTGGAGTAAGGTTGGCTTTCGTTACCATTTGAACGTTCATTTATTTTTTGACCTGCCCCCGGGGACAGTCATAGAATCTTAGACCTATCACAACCCAGGTCACTTTTCAAACCACTGCACCCTGTCCGACACTATTTGACACAAGTTATGTTCCATCTGTCTGATGCAGCTCAATGTTTTTTCAAACACATGACAGCAATCTATTTTAGATCTTTGGTGCAACTACAACATTATTTTAAGGACCTTTTTTTTAATTGTAAAATTTTTTTTGTTGGGTGGGGGGGGCGCTTTGTGATACATCCAAGTCTTGAGACACCCCCCCCCCCCAATATACGCCTACATTTTCTTGATGACCTCAATTTTATTTATTTTAAGGTCCTTTTTTTTTATTGTAAAATTTTTTTTGTTGGGGGGGGGGGGCGCTTTGTGATACATCCAAGTCTTGAGACCCCCCCCCCCCCCAATATACGCCTACATTTTCTTGATGACCTCAATTTTAATGTGAGGGTGTCATCAACACCTCAAAACAAAGAAGCGATCGTGTGTTTCATAAGACCTTTATGAGTAAATTGGGCTTACTTTGGAGACGTGTAGGTGAAAACTATTTACTGGTTTTCAAAATGAGAGCGTTAGGGATCAGATGATTTGCTTGTTTGTTTTTTTTCCTGTAGAAGCAACAGCTTTAACTTAATACTCGTTTGTAAAAAAAAAATATTTTACTTTTAAGCATTCATTTAAAGATTATTTTTTAACATTTCTTTTGAAATATTTTTGTTACTTTGTTACATTCTTATTGTTAATAAGCTTGGGGCATTTTATTCTTCATAACAAAAGTCATTTTGATTGTTAAATTTATCAGAACACATTCTCCCAATCATCAGAACACATCCTCCCAATCATCAGAACACATTCTCCCAATCATCAGAACACATCCTCCCAATCATCAGAACACATCCTCCCAATCATCAGAACACATCCTCCCAATCATCAGAACACATCCTCCCAATCATCAGAACACATCCTCCCAATCATCAGAACACATCCTCCCAATCATCAGAACACATCCTCCCAATCATCAGAACACATCCTCCCAATCATCAGAACACATCCTCCCAATCATCAGAACACATCCTCCCAATCATCAGAACACATCCTCCCAATCATCAGAACACATCCTCCCAATCATCAGAACACATCCTCCCAATCATCAGCACACATCCTCCCAATCATCAGAACACATCCTCCCAATCATCAGAACACATCCTCCCAATCATCAGAACACATCCTCCCAATCATCAGAACACATCCTCCCAATCATCAGCACACATCCTCCCAATCATCAGAACACATCCTCCCAATCATCAGAACACATCCTCCCAATCATCAGAACACATCCTCCCAATCATCAGAACACATCCTCCCAATCATCAGCACACATCCTCCCAATCATCAGCACACATCCTCCCAATCATCAGCACACAGCCTCCCAATCGTCAGAACACATCCTCCCAATCGTCAGCACACATCCTCCCAATCATCAGCACACAGCCTCCCAATCATCAGCACACAGCCTCCCAATCATCAGAACACATCCTCCCAATCATCAGCACACATCCTCCCAATCATCAGCACACAGCCTCCCAATCATCAGCACACAGCCTCCCAATCATCAGAACACAGCCTCCCAATCATCAGCACACAGCCTCCCAATCATCAGAACACATCCTCCCAATCATCAGCACACATCCTCCCAATCATCAGAACACATCCTCCCAATCATCAGCACGCAGCCTCCCAATCATCAGCACACAGCCTCCCAATCATCAGCACACAGCCTCCCAATCATCAGCACACAGCCTCCCAATCATCAGCACACAGCCTCCCAATCATCAGAACATATCTAATATACAATATGAAAAAAAAATTGCTCTTTAATTATACAAAAATATGTTCAAGTTACTAAGGTTTGCTTACTAAGGTTTGCTAATACCTGTGTGTTGAGAAACTTGAAAACACTGCACTGCTTCTACTGTGTTATGTTTTCCATTTCCATGATTATTTTAAGGTAAGATTAGCTTGTGTAGCTCTGGTTAATAGCCGAAACTTGTTATTTGCATGTCAGCTGAAGGGTGCGATAGACAACCCCCCCCCCCCCAAAACATTGTTTTTGTTATGAAATAAAGATGAACATGATCTATAAACTACGATAGACCCCCCCTCATTGTTTTTGTTATGAAATAAAGATGAAGATTTGCCTATAAACTGTTGCATTTGCCTGACTGTGTACTAAGTGGACAATCATTTTTGTGTGGATTTAATTTATCATTTTAAAGATTTTTATTTTCCCCTTGAATTTGATCTACAGATTTTTCTAATTGTAAATAGCTAACCCTTTGAGAACCTTATTTAATGGCTAAAATTTCCCTTAAACAAACCCCCACCCACCACCCTCCACCCTATAATCTTTTGATATCATGCTTGTTGGTTCCCTGGCTCCACCAATAGACAATAAAACAAAAAAATGACATGAGCATATTTTAATGCTGGTCTAAACGTTTTTTTAAGAGAGAAGGAAAAAATCCTGGTAGAAATAGAAAACCCAGCTGGACCTGCTCCTTGCACTAGCAAATTAAGCTACCTACCCCTTTAGGTGACGGACTTCTAAATGGGTAGCCATTCTACCAAAGATTGTTATTAAGTGACAGATTTCTAACTAGGTAGCCCTTCTACCAAAACTGCTTAAGTGATGGATCTCAACTTTGGTAGTCATTCTACCAAGACCATTTTAGGTGATAGATTACTAACCTGTTGGCCGTTTTACTTCTACCTAGAGCCCTTTAGGTGACATATTTCTAACTAGGTAGCCCTTCTATCAGGACAGAGGATGTTTGCCGGCTCACATGATGCCAATGACCGGAGAAGTGCGTTACCTATTCCAAATATATCCTTGCATCAAAGCCAGCCCTATAAACTTAACAATTTTCAGCCACCATTTGGTGGGATTTTTTGTATGCCATATCTTTTGATCAATGTGACTCATAATATTGTTTTATTTAATACTTACGAGTAATTAGCCTTCCAGTTGGAACTTTTGTGTGGTTGAGATTTACAACAACAAAAAAAAAATTGTGATTAAATACTTTGACTTATGTCTCTGACGATGTCTTGGGCGTGTTTTATTTTGTGAGATTTCATTTTATGTTGTCTGTCTATGTCTGTGCTCTGTCTATGTCTGTGCTCTGTCTATGGCTGTGCTCTGTCTATGGCTGTGCTTGTTAATGAACACATTTGAGAAGATTCCTAGGGCTATATCTAGAAATATCAAGGCCGCCGACATCTTTTTGAAAATGGGTCCATATCTTTCTGTTTTTCGATTAGATAAGAGGGTTTTCCAAAACCTTGTTTTTGATATCAATGTAATTCTTTTTTAGTGTAGCCAGCCATCTTTTTTTAGTCATTAAAAAACTCTGGGTTTTTTTTTGTGAGTGAAGAATTTA